GAGAGAGAGTGTGTGTGAGAGAGAGAGAGAGTGAGACAAAGAGACAGACGGACAGACAGACAGACAGACAGGCAGACAGGCTTGTTCGTACTGGCATGCCCAGGGATGCACATGTTTCCTGATTGATGTATTGAAACCTTCTGGGTCTGCAGTCTGGATTTCCAGGAACGCTCTGTGCCGCAACTTCCATGCAAGTGCAGCGTAAAGATCGGAGCTTGGAACTAACGAGACAGACATCTGGTCGAAATCTAGCAAAATCTAGCACCCAAGGGTCGTGCTTGAGGTGGCTGTCAGGGACTTTCGACAGCTTGCTTCTGGGGCTTCGGGGTGCGACAGGGTCTGGGTTTCTCGAGCCTACGCTGTTTGGTTCGCTATTGTGGGACCTTGGAAGCCAGGTCTCTTCCGAGAAGTTCCAGGGCTTCTACTCGAAGCACCCGGCACACAAGGCTGCCATCAAGAACATGAGGACACCAGCTTCAAGTGTGTAGTACCTAAAAAGGGGTCAAGATCAAAGAGCCGAGTACCTTACAGTGCTTCTGAGCGTGTCGGCACTGGGAGACCCAGGACTTTCTGCGAGCAGCATGCGGACGTCTTCTCGATCTCGGACACGAAGCCTCACTGGCAGCTGATGGTGAAGATTCCCAACCCAAATGCTGCTTGCGCTGAAGTTGGCTTCGGTCTTCGGGTAGATTACGACATGGCACAGTGGCTCGCAGGTCAGAAAAAACCCCGGAAAACTTTTGTTCAACTGATCCAAGTACTTGCTGAAGGTTCTCTCCGACTCCAGGGCCGCCCTACAACAAATAAGCACATAGACAGCCAAAAAGGACAGACGAAGGGATAGAGGGAAAGAGTGGCAGGAGATTTAAAAAGGAACAGTATGGAGAGGGAGGGAGGGCTTTACGGATTCCTTTCGTCGCCCCAAAGATGGTTGTGGTAAGCTAACGACACCGAACGACACCATTGGTCTTCGTTGTCTTAACGCTCGCCGGCGCCAAGACCTCTTGTCGCCTTCAGGTTTGGGACGAACATAGCACTAGCTCCAAGTGCTGAGCATTGAGACAGTATTTTTCAATTTTGCCTGCTGCAGATCAAGCGCTGGGAAAGCAAATGCATATGTGCTGTGCAAGCTGCTGATATCTGCGAAATTATATCTGTTTAGTATATACATGCATCTATGCATATACATGCATGCACATACATATGTGCGTATGTTCCTGCATTCTCTTTGTGCAGACGAGGCCACAGCGAAGAAGCTTGCCGCCTATGTCGGCGACCGCGGAGGCACAGTTGCTCTCGGTGACCTCGAGGTGCCGGCAGCTAAAGGACGTTCGCTCTAGAACTGCAAGGTTTGGGTTTTGGGCTTAGGGTTGCAGGGTGCTGGATTTTCTCGGAGAAGCGTTTGTACGAAAAGGGGTTTAGGTCGGATTGGGGACTATGTAAGTTTAGGGATCATGTCAACCCTGCACGACTATGCAGTGCTAAGCCACCGCATGTCCTGCCCACGAGGCACCCAGGATCCGTAGCATCACCGATCCCAGTGCCGGGTTTGAGGGTTCGCGTGCCCCTCAAGCAAGGATACGTCTTCTTCAAGAGCCGTAGAATTCCGAGGAGTATCATGCCGTGGTTGAATGACGTTGGCTTCTCTGTTGATGTTAAGTTAACCCTGGACCTGAGCATGGGTTTCCCTTTTTGTGACGGCTTTTGGGTTCATGAGCTGCATTTTTCGGGATTTCCTTGCCAGAACCGAGAAGGGAATCCGCGAGGTGTTCTTTGCATAGAGGTGGGCTTGCAAAAGTCCTTGCAAAGTTCTGGAGACCTGCCCGAAACATGTTTGAGAATCACGTCCGTTCTTGCCTCACTGTGTCATAGTTTCCTGACAAGAGAACCCCTAAACCCTAAACCCTGAAAACCCTAAACCCTGAACCCTGAAACCCCTAAATTTCCCTAAATCCTAAGCCCTGAAAACTCTAAACCCTGAAACCCCTGAACCCTAAACCCTGAAAGCCCCAAACCCTAAACCCTGAAATCCGCATGGCTCCTGCGCAAGGATGACAAGCACAAATCGAGAAGTGTGCTAAAACAACCTGAAATCCCTAAACCCTCAAACCCCTGAACCCTAAACCCTGAAATCCCTAAACCCTCGAACCCCTGAACCTTGAAACCCCTAAAAACCCTAAACCCCGAAACCCCCTAAGCCCCAAAACCCTGAAAACCCCTGAGCCTTGGGGCCCTAAACTTTGAACCTTGGATTCCTGTCCCGGTCGCTGCCGAGGTTTGGAAACGTGAGAACCCAACCCTGGCAAAGACCATCCACAAAGGAGGAGAGCTTATCTTAGGGTTTAGGGTTTAGGTAGGGTTTTGGGGTTTAGGGTTTAGGGTTTAGGGTTAAACTTTTGGGGATCATATAATCCCTTTGTAGAACAGAAAGCGTACACTTTTTTGTGCTTATGAACTCAGCGACTAAGTTGTGGCCGGCTATGGAGGTATGGAAGTTCATTTCACTTCAGCCAGCAGGCTCAGGGTTTAGGAGTTTAGGATTTAGCTTCTAGGGCTCATGGTGTAGCCGGCGGTGTTGTGCAGGACGTTCCATGAAGGACTTCTTCGACGCATGTGCATGCGCGCAGAAGCTGCTCACTGTCGAAAGTACCTCCGGTATTGTGACGAAGGTGCAACTGTTCGCTGAAAGCTTTTCTTGGTTGCTGCAGCTGCACCCTAGGCCCTAGGGGTGATCTAGGAAATTGTAGGAGCCATCCCTTGTGTGCAGCTGCCCCCAGGTGTCCTTAAAGGCCGGCAAGGGAGCTCTCACAGGCTCAGGTGATGACGACCGTGCTCGTGCAGCTGCCAGCCTTGCTCTGTATCTCCGCGTCAAGGGCGGCTCCATGCAGGCTTGCGACATCCACGAGTTCTATAGGGAGTTCCCTGAGCACAAGCAAGCCATGGGCAAGCTCCGAGCTTTCTGCGAAGAGCAGAAGGACCTCCTGATCTTTGAAATGGATTCACTTGGTGGCAAGATTTCTCTTCCCAGCCAAACTTCAACTTCTCACTCCAAGCCGCGACCAGCCCCAGACCTGATACTGAAATCGGCCGACAGCACAGTGCCGCCGCAGGTGTCTTCGAAGCCGAGCTCAAGTGTCGACCGTGCTCGTGCCGCTGTCAACCTGGCTCTATATCTCCGTGGCAATGGTGGCTCGATTCTCGCTTGCGACATCCACAAGTATTACGCGCAGTTCCCTGAGCACAAGCGGGCTATCGGCAAGCTCAAGACATTCTGCGAAGAGCAGAGCGACTTCCTTGTCTACGAAAAGGACCCACATCCTGGCAAGATTTCGCTTCCCAGGCACTGCACAGAGGGCAGCTGGGCCAAGATCTTGGCAAAAGCCTGCCAGGCTGCACCTTTTCGCTCGAAGCCGCCACCGGCTCCCCCAGAAATGCCAGTGGAATCGGCCGACCCTGTAGTTTGCATAGCTGCAAGCCTTGCCATGTTCGTCCAGAGTCAGGGAGGTTCCATACCCGGCAGCAGCATGTCTGAATACTACAAGATTCACCCCGAGCACAAGCAGGTGATATCGGACGCAGGTTTGAGGGCATTCTGCGAAAGATACGACGGCCTGTTCCGGTTCGAGCCCCTGCCGGGAAGTGGACAGCTGTCCTTAAAGTCCTTCTGCTGCCACTACTTGAGAGGGGAATGTGTGCATGCTGCTGACCACGATGGGAAGCTGCACTCTATGCCAGCCTCCTCTCCTGTTGTCTGCTCTTTCGGCACGAAGTGCATCAAGGGCCACTGGAAGCGACTGGCGGACCTGGCGAAACGGAGCCTCGGTGCTGTCACATTGCCAGCTCCCTCAAGTACGAAGTTGAAGGTGACCGAGATCCGATGGACTCACGACGCGATCCGCGCCACCTTCCGAGATGGCAAGCTGCTGATGGAGACCCTCGTAGCCCTAAACCCTAAACCC